CCTCACGGTCCTAACGGCTGTGTCTCCGCAGGGTGATCATCACGATGCTGGTCACCACCGCCGTGTGCTGCTATCTCTTGTGAGTACCGCGAACCGGGCCCCGATACTGCTCCCCACACACACCTCCGTCATTCTCCGTATGGCTTCACCAGGCCCAGTGGCTGCTGCCCAGTCCCCTGCCCGTGGATGAACGGGACAGCCCCCGGGCTGCGGCCTGCCTCCCTCACGGACACTTCAGCCCCCGGGGCATCAGTCCCTCTGCCAGCCCCTTCAGGACGCAGCATGCCGGGATCCTGATCCCTGCCTCCGTGCTACCGGGGCTGATGACAGGTTGCATCCCTTTGCAGCTGGCTCATCGCCATCCTGGCCCAGGCCAACCCCCTGTTTGGGCCGCAGCTGAAGAACGAGACCATCTGGTACGTGCGCTTCCTCTGGGAGTGAGCAGTCCCTGCAAGCCGGCGCCTGAACAGAGACACCCCCCACCCCCAAAGTCATCACCGTGAGTGGGCCGAGGGCTGGGGTGGCTGAGGTGTCCCCGTTTGCCTGCCTGTGTCCGACTGGGGGGGAGCTGCATCTGGTCCTTGCTGGGTGGGAGAGATGCTTTTGCTTCTGTGCATTGTGCCTGTCGTGAGCTGGTCTTGGCGTGGGGCTGCTGGCTCTGTGCTGGGCCAGAGAAAACTGAGCACTTCCCCCTGAGCCTGTGGTTCTCTAGGTTTGTGTAAGGTCCCTTGTGGGTGCAGTTTGGTGCTAACTTCTCTCCTTTCTGCCTCCTCCAGCTCTTGCTGCTGTTCCAGCCTCTACCCTCCCATCCCAGGCAGCCCCCAGAGGTACTGGGACAGAGGCTGGACCCGCTGCCCCATGCACTCTCAGCACTGCAACCTGGACCAGTGATGGCTGGGCCCCCGAGCATGGCAGGCAGCAACCCTGCCTGGGACGAGGGCCTGGTAAGCCCAGCCCTGGGAGCAGCCACGCTACCAGGGAGAGATCCCCTCAGCTGCCCAAATGCTGCAGTCACTGACAGCGAGCACCATCCTGAGAGAGATCTGTGTGTCGTGCCACAGGATCCTGTCCCTGCAGTGTTTGCCCTGCTCCTTCTGATGTACTCAGCCCAAGCCTCCCCGAGTGAAACCCCTGTCCCCAGCCCAGGCTGCCCAGCTCGTTACCATGTCCCCAGTCATTTCAGGCACTGGCTGCCTGTCTGTCTGCGCAGGCAGGAGCCTGTAGCATCCTCTGATGGCGTGGTCAGTCCTCTGTGGTGAGGGTGGTTGTTGCTAAAACAGACTCTGGCTGTGGGTGTGAGAAGGGAGGGCTGACCCTGGAGGAGCATGCAAACCCCCTTGGGTGTGATGAGGGAGATGCTGGGGTGCAGGGCAGGGGGTTCTGCTGTTTGGCAGCCTGCTGGAGGGCATTAAAGGGGTTCTGCGTCTCCTCCCACCTCAGCAGTGAGGGTGCTGCAGTAGTGTCTAGGTACCACCGCTACCCCAACCTCTGTCCAGGTTCTGAGAGGAACCAAGTAGGGCGTTGTGTTTTCGGTTTCCCCTTATTTATCACATAGTTTATCTGTATTTATTTATTTGTCTGTGTTTGTTAAATTTGTGTTGTGGAAATAAATCCTTTTTCTAATAAGTCGTGCTGGAGGCAGTCACTTGCTGCTTTGGGGCTGAAGAACAGTCTCGGCTTTATTTAGACTTCTTCCCTTCCCTTTAACCCTGTTCTTGCACCATGAGAACAAGGCTGGGATCTGCAGCTGTTGGGCAGGAGCGTGGCAGCACACTGGTGCATGGAAGGTTTTATCCTTGATGCCACCTGTGCCCAGGGTCACAGGTACGCAACTGCATGTGCTAGAGGGAGAATTGGGTACCTGCCCAGCCTCTTGTGGCAGGCCGCTGTACTGGGGCCATCCCTAGGGCTGTGTAGCAGCTGGAGAAGCTTAGTGGCCCCTTTCCAAGGCTGGGGTGGGGGATAAGGTAAAAAGCAGGGAGCTTCCAGGGGCTCAGAGTGGGGCAAGCTCAACTTTCTCATCTTAGGAGGAGAGGGAGGGGCAGCAAAGGATGCTGTCTCCAAAGACCTCAACAGTTCCGTTTGGATCAGAGCTTCCCTTGCTGCTACCAGCTCGGGACTTGAGCTCAGCTGTCCTTCTGCTGGAAGCACAGGGAACATCTGCAGGGAAGAGAGCCGCTCCATCGTCCCTCTGTGCTGGCACAAAGCAGCGCTGCACAGACGTGCGCTGGCCCCAGTTGTGCCAGGAGCCGTTGCTGCTGGTGAGGCGCTCGCTAGAAAACAAGACCGGTGCTGGATGGCTCAAGGGGTTTGTTTATTGCTACAGGAATGTGAACAGCTCAGTTCAAGTAAAAAGTGACAAACGTTGTTGGGTCATTGGGGGCTCCAGCCCCAGGGGAGGAAGGCTTGTGCCTGCGCGCACAGCCAAAGCCCAGGCCTGCCCCGGGGCAGGGAGCTGGGCTGGAGTGAGGTGGTTCGCCCACGGGCAGGCCCAGCCTGCGCTCTTGAGGGAGAGAACCACAGGTCCCAGTGCTAGTGCCTGATTAATGTGGGGGACACCACAGGGCAGAGGTGCCCAGGAGGGAATGTATGGAAGGAAAGGCAGCCCGCTTTAGTGGTGCCTTAGGAACCAGTGCCTGAGCCCTCAGGGCTGACCCTGGGATGGTGGCTAGGACTGGAACGATTGTCCTAGGAGAAGACATGGCAAAGAGCCCATCACTTCTTAAGGAATGCTCCAGGACGGGCTGGGCTGGGCAAAGCAGCTTGGTGGAACTCGTGGCTCACCTGGTTCCTGCAGTAATTTCGCTAGCGATTGCTGTTCTCCAGCCCGTGGGCTTGCAAGGGACTGCAGAAAGGCCACCCCAGGTCATGAGTACAGCACCTCACCAGCCTGCTCTGCAAAACAGTGGCTGACGCATGGGGTGGCCCAGTGCTTCAGGCCACAGCCCTGGGTTGGCCATCTCAGTGATAGTGTCCTGCTTATCTGAGGGACCTGCTACACCTGCAGCCTCAAGCCCGCTGGCAGCAGCGGACTTTGCTCTATGCCATGTAGCAAGGCAAGGCCAGAGGCCAAGGAATGCAAAGATTAGGGCTGGGGCAAGGCGGAGAGGAAAGCTCCAGTGTCCCCAGATGCCTCGTCCCGCAGGCTCAGGTTCTGATGTGGAGACGATGGAGTGCAGTGTTGAGATGGTCTTTAAGAAAAGAGTCCAAGCCCTCGGAGCCCAGGCTGTCAGCGAGTCCTGGTTCTGCTGGTGCAACTGGA